ACTGGCTCCATCCCCGCCTCTTTGACCTGTCTGTTTCCTCTCCACCTATCTTCTCCTCTATCCATCTTCTCTCCGCCTCCCCCTCTCTCCCTATTTATTTCAGAACCCCCTCCCCCTCCCCCATTTCTGAAGAAGGGTCTAGGCCCAAAACGTCAGCCTTCCTGCTCCTCTGATGCTGCTTGGCCTGCTATGTTCATCCAGCTCTACACCTTGTTATCTAACGGCACACTAGGCCAGGTAAGGACAACGTCTCCTGACGTTTCGAAGAGTCATTTGGACTCGAAACGTTAACTGTGTTGAGTTTCTCCAGCATTTTCATGTCTTCATTTCAGATCTCCAGCGTCCACAATACTTTTGACATTACTTAGCTGGGGAGGGTTCAGAAAAGGTTTACCAGAATGTTGCTGGGACTGGAGGGTTTGAGTTACAAGGAGAGGCTGGATAGGCTGGGACTTTTTGCAATGGAGGTTGAGGGGTGACTTTATAGAGGTTTATAAAATCATGATTGGTGTAGATAAGGTAAATGGCAGGTGTCTTTACCCTAGAGTAGAGGATTTCAAGACTAAAGGATATATCTTTTAAATGGAGGAGAAAGATTTAAGAAAGACATGAGGGACAAGTTATTTTGTACAGGGGGTGGTTCGTGTGTTGAATGAACTTCCAGAGGAAGTGACGGATGCGAGTACAATTATAATGTTTAACAGACACTTGGATAAATATGTGAATGGGAAAGGTTTGGAGGGATATGGGCCAAGAGCAGGCAGGTGGGACTGGTTTAGTTTGGGATTAGTTCAGCATGGATTGGTTGGACTGAAAGGTCTGTTTCCATGTTTTATGAATCTATGACTATACCACAATGGATATCCTTCCCCTCTAGGACACTGAATGACCTTCTTCCCTTGACAACAGCAGTTCACCATCATTAATTTTCTTTCCCATAATTCATCAGTTAATAGGTAGGATTTAAACACATGTTCCCCAGCGTATTAGCCTGGGTCTCTAGGTTATTGGGTCGTTGTCGCTACTACTACACTACCACCCGCCTTACTAAGACACCTCTGTTATTATCAGGTAGGGCCTGAGGTCTTAGGGTGGGGAGTGAACCCAGAGTGAAGAGTGGGGAGAGAAGGGGGTTTCAGGCATTGACGTCATCATGGTACCAATGTAGAAGGAAGGATGGAGTGATGTCTTTTGGGAAGAGGGATGGGTGTTAATGTGCCCACTATATACTCAAAGAAACTTCACCCACCCCCTGAATGAGACACCAACTGTGCTCCTCCCCATTCGATCTTTAACAAATAACTTGCCCACTCGCTCTGCCCCGCACCAGACGCATTTTGACGTGGACAGTGTATTAACTAGCTCCATTAAGCCTTGGTTGCTCGTTGGCCAACAATGGGTGGGCTGCTGATATTATGGAGGGTGTCACCTCAGGGGGGTGGGTAGATGGGCGTTGCTAAGATATCCATCTCCAAGTCACACGTTGGCCTTTCGATTCCACAAGTTTTTGTCATAATAATATCCGAGGAGAAATTCACCCAATGCCCTGTGCCATCTCTGTCAATAATGTTCATAGATATTCGCCTCAGATCACCAATTTGAGTCACCTTGGTTTAAATAAAAATGTAACCAGGTTCGTCAAGCCTAATGTAGTCCTTTTGTTTTCATACTTTCTCCATTGTAAGATCATTGGAGATTGCCCAGAGGAAATCAGTTCTCCGCCTTTACCCAATTCAATCCCTTTGACAAAGTAAAGGTACAGGACTATATCTTCCTTTATGGGTCAATCGAGAACGAAAGGTCACAGGTTTAGGCTAAGGGGTGGCAAATAAAAAGCAGAAACAGGGAGAAATTACTTCTCTCAAAGGGTCACGAATCTGTGGATTTCACACCACGCCAAGATTGCGGTGGATGCTGGGACGTTGGGAAAATTTAAGGAGGAGATAGACAGATTTTTAATTCATAATGGGTTAAAGGGTTATGGAAAGTGGACAGGGAAGTGGAGTTGAGGCCACGATGAGATCAGCCACGATTGTATTAAATGGCAGTTGGACTGAATTACCTACTTCTGCTCCTGGTTCTTAATAACGTTACGGTGCTCAATGAACTCCTCTTCCAGCATTCTAAACCAAGATAGGAGACAACTTGGCCTTTTAAGGATCAATCTTTTGAATTTATGCATTGTCTTCTACGAGGCCATATATCCTTCCTGATTTAGACTGCGTACAAATGAAGTTGTCACTTTCACCATATCCAGTACAAATTGGGATTTAAGAATCAATCTTTCCTCTTTGTATTCAAGTTCCTTTGAATAAAGGCTAGCATTGCATTTGCCCTTTTTGATAACAGAGTCATAGATATGTACAGTGTGGAAACAGACCCTTTGGTCCAACTTGTCCATGCCGACCAGATATCCTAAATTAATCTCACACATTTGCCAGCATTTAGCCCACATCCCTCATATCCACAGAGGAGAATGCAAATAGCATCCCAAAAATGTTGGGGACCTGTGACGATACTGTGGCTTTAAGAGGTGTGTTTTCCCCTGGTCTCTTTTAGAAACAGAGATTGGGGGGGAACATATGGCGAGCAGTCTATAAGATAAACAACTTGTGAAGCCCTGGGTGTTTTTTAAAAAAGTTGGAACAATAGAAGCAGCCTGAGTGGGTGTGGTCAAACTCCCACAGAATCGGGATTTTAGGTTTAGCTCTCAGCAGTTGCTGTTAGGATCTTGACTGAAGTGAAAATTATTCTTTCTCTCTCTTGATTACAGCTAAAAGCTGGGGATTGTTTCCTCCTACAGGGTTTGCATGTGAGACAATTTGTTTTCTGAATTTGCCTTTTGCTAAGGGTATGTTTATGGGATGTTACTATATTGGAACAGCTAATCAGTAATAGTTACTGTATCTATTGTTAAGTTTGCCAATAGGGTTAAATTATTCCAATTCCTTCTTCCTTTTGTTGCATTTTAATTATAGTGGATGAATGAAGTGTGTTTTGCTTTAAATCCGGTAGTTTGACCAATCAGATTGCATCTGGAAGGCAATGCCTTACATTGACCTCGAAAATAAGAAAATGTTAGGATCTAGATTATCTTCTGAATAGTTTGAGGGGGTTTGGTCTTGTCCAGAACAGGAATACAGATTTAATGAGAGAGAAACTGAAGATCAGTATTAGTAGGAAGATGGTGCTGGAGAAACTGATGGGATTGAAGGCCAATAAATCAGCGCCTAATAATCTCTATCCCAGAGTGTTTAAAGAAGTGGCCTGAGAAATAATAGATGCATTGAGGATCATCTTTCAAGATTCTGTAAACTCTGTAATGGTTCCTATGAATTGGAGGGTAGCTAATGTAACTTCACTATTTTGAGACAGTAGATTAAAAACAGGGAGTTGTAGACTGGTTAGAATTGTAGAATCCCAACAGAGCAGAAAGAGGCCATTCAGCCCATTGAGTCCACACTGATCCCCCAAAGACCATCCCACCCAGGCCCTTACCCTATTCCCGTAACCCCACATTTACCATGGTTAATCCATTACAGGACAATTTCCCTGTGGTCAATGTACCCAGCTTGCACATCTTTGGACTGTGGGAAGAAACTGGAGCACCTGGAGGAAACCCATGCAGACACAGGGAGAGAGTGCAAACTCCACACAGACAGCTGCCTGAGGGTGGAATTGAACCTGGATCCCTGGCATCATGAGGAGGCAGTGTTAACCACTGAGCCACCGTGCCACCCCCATTGGCCTGTTATTGTCAACAGGAAATGTGCTACAGTCCATAATGAAAAATATAACAGGAAACAGTGAAAAACAATGATATAATTGGGCAGAGTCAGCATGGATTTTCATGTTTGACAAATCAATTGAATGTAACTAGTAGAGTCGTCCAGGGATCCACTGGGTATGGTTCAGGAGGCATTCACTAAGGACCCAGGTAAGAGATTAGCATATAAAGTGAAAGTGCACAGGCTTGAGGGTGGTGTGTTGACATGGATAGAGCCGGCAGGCAGGAAACAATGAGTCTGGATAAACAGGTCATTTTCTGAATGTCAGCCCGTGTCCAGCATCCCCTGTAATGTTCTCACCATGCAGATTTCCAACTCCCTTGCACAGCGGTGAGTCCGAAAACCGGGAATCAATACCGTGATCAGCTGCTGATTGCTGTACGCGAGGGAATAGGAGCGGCTGTGCAGGCAACAATCCCGGTGGAGGAACCGCAGGGATCAGTGCCTGGAGCCCAGCTATTCACAACAAATACGAAGGATTTAGGTGAGGGAACTGAAAATGTAATACTGCATACAATTCTGGTCACCCTTCTCTTGGAAGGATGTTGCTAAACTTGAGAAGGTGCAGAAAATATTTATGTGGATGTTGCCGGAACTGGAGGGTTTGAGTTATATAGAGAGGCTGAGTAGGCTGGGACTTTTTTCCCTGGAGCATTGGAGGCTGAGGGGTGGCCTTATAAAAGTTTGTAAAATCATGAGGGACATGGATAGGGTGAATAGTCAAGGTCTTTTCCCCAGGGTAGGGGGAGTCAAAAACTAGAGGGTGTCGGTTTAAGGTGAGAGGGGAAAGATTTAAAAGGGAGCTAAGGAGTAACTTTTTCACGCAGAGGGTGGCGCGTGTATGGAACGAGCTGCCAAAGGAAGTAGTCTAGGCTGGTACAATTACAACATTTAACAGACATCCGGATGGGTATATGAATAGGAAGGGTTCAGAGGGATATGGGCCAAATGCTGGCAAATGGGACTAAGATTGAGATGTTTGGCCGGTGCAGACGAGCTGGACCAAAGGGGTCCGTTTCTGTGCTGTACGACAGTATGACACAAAGCTGGGTGGGAGGGCGAGCTGTGAGGAGGATAGAGAGATGCATCAGTGTGATTTGGACAAGTCGAAAAATGCAAGAGGGGGATTAAATGTGAGATGAACCTTTCAACAGTGGCTAATGGCAAGTGGCAGGAATGGGAGGGGCGCTCAAGTTGTGTTTAACATTCCTCTTGTTTTATTTTCCATTCTTTGTCCCCCCCCCGTTCTTTGAAATTGCTGCTCCATTGACTGGGATTGAGAACATAGAAAGCTCCTTACCTGGATTGATCATGTCCAGCATTTCTCTCCAGGCAAAATACTGCAAGGGGCCTTTGAATATTCCCAGAGGGAGATCCATGTCCACCAAAGCCATCGAATTGTCACTAATCCTGCAAATTAAATATTTAATCATTGAGAAATGTACATTTCTTTTCCTTTTGGCTTTTAAAGACTAATGTGTGTTTGTTAAGAAGTTTTTTTGTAACTAAAGGAAAGTCATACTTGGCATTCCAGGAGCCTTCCTCCTGAAAGAAACAAAAATGCAAGTCAACTTTTGTCAAACATATCAAAAACTGAATAATATGATGCGGGACGGCATCCAGAACTTCACCAGTTTGAAACATGTCTTAGAATTATAGAATACCTATAGCGCAGATAGAGGCCATTTGGCCCATCGAGTCCGCATCCACCCTCCAAAGAGCATCCCACCCAGACAAAGAACGCCCCCCACATTTTACCCATTCCCCATGGCTAACCCACCCAGCCTGCATGTTCCTGGACTCTGTGGGCAATTTCCAATGGCCAATCCACCTCACCTGCACATCTTTGGACTGTGGGAGGAAACTGGAGCACCCAGAGGAAACCCACGCAGACACGGGGAGAATGTGTAAACTCCACACAGACAGTTGCCCGGGGGTGGAATCGAACCCGGGTCCCTGGCACTGTGGGGCAGCTGTGCGAAAGAAGCGTCACATTGGACTTGAAATGTTTACTCTATTTCTCCCTTCCCAGATGCTTCTAGTTCTGCTGAGTTTCTCCAGCACTTTCTGCTTCTACTTCTGGTCTCTAGCATCTGCAGTACTTTGCTTTTGTGAAATAGTTCTAACTCCGACTCACGGCAAAGTGTAAAGCCACAGAATGAGTAGGAGATAGGAAGAACTGCGAATGCTGGAGTCAGAGAAAATACAGTGTGGAGCTGGAGGAGCACAGCAGGCCAGGCAGCATCAGTCGAACAGGAAAGTCAACGTTTCAGATCAGGACCCTTCTTCAGGACAGATGATGGGTCCCGACCTGAAACGTTGACTTTGCTGCTCCTCTGATGCTGCCTGACCTGTGTTCCTCCAGCTCCACACTGTACCAACACAGAATGAGTATCCTTTGGATAAGTGTTTCCACATCAGAATACGTTCCATTTTCACATTGTTTATCATATGTTTCAGAAGATGTACACTCTAAAGAGATGTGACCTTGGTTAAATCCCTCACTATCAATATCCTGACTAGACACTCATCTGACTAGCCATATACACACTGTTGGCTACAAGAGCAAGCCAGAAGTTAGGAATCCTGCAACAAATAACTCATTCCTGATTCCCTAGAGCCTGTCCACCATCTACAAGGCATAAGTCAGGAGGGTGATGGAATACTCTCCACTTGCCTGGATGAGTGCAGCTCCAACAACACTTAAGAAGCTTGACATCATCGAAGGCAAAACGTTCATTGGCACCACATCCACAAGCATCCAATCCCTCCACCACCGAAGCTCAGTAGCAGCAGCGTGTACTATCTACAAGATGCGATGTAGAAATTCCCAAAAGATCCTCAGTCCTGTTTTTGGATCGTGTATTTGCATAGGATTACACAGATTAAATCACAGTCATTCATGTGGGGAGGCAATGGCCTAGTGGTATTATCACTGGACTGTTAATCCAAAGACTCAGCTAATGTTCTGGAGATGCAGGTTCGAATCCCACCACGGCAGATGCTGGAATTTGAATTCAATAAATATCTGGAATTAAGAGCCCAGTGATGACCATGAACCCATTGTCGATTGTTGGGAAAAATACATCTGGTTCACTACTGTCCTTTAGGGAAGGAAACTGCCATCCTTACCTGGTCTGGCCTACATGTGATTCCAGACCCACAGCACTGTGGTTGACTCTGAACTGACCTCTGGGCAATAAATGCTGCCTAGTCAGCGACGCCCTCATCCCATGAATGCATAAAAGGAAAAAAAATTCAGTTCCATCATACTCTGGTTTATTGCTCCAGACTTGATTTCCATCCAATATCTAGAAATCTAGCATTCTTTCCCTTCTTCGTATGTTTGACTTGTCTCCCCTTTACACCATTCACCTTCAAAAACCTTCCTTCATTTTAAAGACCTCTATGTCACGTCCAGCCCTCCCTCTTCGAGAGAGGATCCACACAGTCTGTCAACTATTCCTTGTAATACTTCTCTGCACCATCTGCAGTGTCTCTGTGCTATTCTTAACATATGACAATGTGGATGGATGCAGCTCCAACAACACTCAAGAAGCTTGACACCATCAGGACAAGGCAATCCATTTGATTGGCACCACATCCACAAACATCCACTCCCTCCGCCACTGATGCTCAGTAGCAGCAGTGTGTACCATCTGCAAGGTGCGCTGCAAAAATTCCTCAAAGATCCTTAGACAGCTCCTTCTAAATCCATAACCACTTCCATCTAGAGAGACAAGGGCAGCAGACACTGCTGCCTGCAAGTCCCCCTCCAAGCCACTGACCATCCTGACTTGGAAATGTATCGCTGTTCCTGTGTTGCTGGGTCAAAATCCTGGATTTCCCTGCCTATCACCAAATGGATTGCACTGGTTCAAGAAGGCAGCTCACCCCTCCAACAAGTGTACGTCATTGTTTGAAATTATTTCCAGAACATTTCAAAGTAAACTGAAGAAGTGAGCATTAAATCATCTCATTGCTGGTGGTCCTGGGACAGACGCTGGACAAATGTTCCTGGAGAGAGACTAACTCAGTGAACCTTGCATTGACTCCTACTCATCCAGGAACTTTAGCGCCCGAGTGGTGAATGTCAGTTGCCTTTGTGATGTCAGAGCTCATCACAAAGGAATTGGAATTCTCAGAACCATTCTATCCTATGATGGCAGGAATGGCCTGTGAGGACAAATTGAGGAGATGGGTCTACGTTCTCTAGAGTTCAGAAAAATAAATGATGAGCTATTAAAGTGTGCAAAATGGGATCGACAGGGTAGATGCAGAAAGGATGTTTTGCCTTCGCCTTGTGATGGGGCATGTAGAACCAGGGGCACTATCTCAGAATAACGGTCAGGCCATTTAAGACGGAGAGGAGGAGAAATTTCTTCGCCCAGAGAGTGGTGAGCCTTTTCAATTCTCTGCCCCAGAGGATTGCAGAGTCCCACTCATTGAGTCAAAGTCATAGAGCACAGAAACAGTCCCTTGGTCCAACCAGCCAATGCTGTACATAATGCCAAATTAAATCAGTTCCACCTGTCTGCTCCTGACCCATCTCCCTCCAAACCTTTCCTATTCATGCACATATCCAAATATCTTTTAATTGCTGTAACTGTACCCGCATCCACCACTTCCTCAGGAAGTTCATTCCAGACACGAACCACCCTCAGTGTAAAAAATTTGCCCCTCATGTCTTTTTTAAATCTCTCTCCTCTCACCTTAAAAATATCTCCGCAATTCTTGAAATCCCCCTCTCTAGGGAAAGGACACCTGCCATTAATCCTATCTATACCCCCCATCATCTTATAAACCTCAATAAGGTCACCTCTCAACCTCCAATGCTCCAGTGAGAAACGTCCCAGCCTAACTCAAACATTCCATTCCCGGCAGCCACCTGGTAAATCTCTTGAGATTTCCAGTAACAAGGAATATGGTGATATTGCAGGATAAAAGGTGTTGATGTAGAAAATGGGCCATGATCTGGTTAAATGGATGGCCTGAAGCTAGTTTGATGGGCTGAATGGCCCACTCCTGGTCCTAATTCCTGTGTTCCCAGCTGCCCCTTCGCTTCAAACATTAGGGATACAGAATACTAACCCCCAGCAGAGGGAGCTGCATTTACTCACCCCTTGAGGTGATTCTTGACGTAACAAGGTGCCCGATAACAGAAGGAGATTACACTCCTCACCTTACCTTGAGAATGGTCAATACGTCTGGCCGATCGAGTCGTGCCTGAAACTGGGCCAGAACCCGCTCAGCGGAGTCCAGGGCATCTTGAATCTCCCGCAGGTTTCCTTGCATCGCCTCCAGAATCCTCCCTTCCCGCTCACGGAGATCTCCGTCGAGACGCCGCTCCAGCTCACCCAGAACCTGGTGCATCTTGGTGAACTCGTATTTGATGTGGGCTTGCAGATTGCGTGACTGCTCCTGAGCCCATCGGAACGCGGAACAGAGGCACACGATAAATATTTTCAAAACTTGAAAAGTTGTGGGGTGGTGGGGGAGGCGGGGGTGGGGGGGGGTGGGGGGAGAAAAATTGGGCTTTGGAGAAGTGAACAAACAAATTGACGCCTCACCTTGACCTGGGAGATCTTCTGCTCCTGGTTGAATTTAGCCTTGAGCACCGCGGCCTTCCTTTTGGCGGCCAAGTCCAAAGATAATTTCAGCTGATCCTGCAAACGAGAGCAGAAATTCCTGGAGGGAATTCTTCCACCTTCCTAGAGAAAGGGGGTTAGGCCGGATGGTGGGATGAAGTGCTTCCAAAGCTACCCCTATCCCTTGGCAAAACAGGACAGACGCGGTCCCATTCAGCCTCATTGTACGTCTGCGGCCTTCTTCCTCAATTCAATTTGCTTCTTGGGTGCCCCCAACCATTGTATCTGCCTCTGTCACGCGCCGAGACCCCAAAACCCCGAAGCTCAGAGAGACTTTTCCCTTCCTATCTCCTTGGCTTCTCCGACCAATGCTGTCCCTCATATCTATACCTGCCTTGGTTCTCAATCCTTTTACCAACAGGGACATATTTCTCCCTCTCTACTCAGCCCAGACCCCTCATGATTTTGAACACCCTCCCCAGCAGTAATTCACCAAGGTTACCAAGACTGGAGAGTCTGAGTTCGGAGAACTCCAGAAGCTGGAGTTAGAGTCAGCACAGCATGGAGCTGGAGGAACACAGCGGGTTAGGCAGCATCAGAGGAGCAGGAGAGTCGACGTTTCGGGTCGGGACCCTTCATCAGATTGTAAGGAGAGGCTGGGACTGTTTTCCCTGGAGTCTAGGAGGCCAAGGGGTGACCTTAAAGTGGCTCAGCAAATCATGATGGACATAGATATGGTGAATAGTCAAGGTCTTTTCCCCAGGGTAGGGGAGTCCAAAACTCGAGGGCAGAGGTTTAAGGTGGGAAGGAAAAGATTTATAAGAGACCCGAGGGACAAATCTTTCACACAGAGGTGCATATATGGAACGAGCTGCCAAAGGAAGAGTTAGAGGCAGGTAGAATTACAACATGTAAAAGGCATTTGAACAGGTGCATGGATGGGAAAGATTCAGAAGGATATTGGTGAAACGCAGGTAAATAGGACTAGTTCAGTTTAGGAAACTTGGTAGGCATGGACGCCTTGGGTCGAAGGGCCTGTTTCCATGCTGTATGACTCTATCCAAATCTAACCTCAGCTTTATCTTCCCCAGGAGAAGGGTGTCACCAGTCTATGCGACTGAAGTTCCCCATCCCAAGGTCAGTTCTCATGAATCTTCATCTCTCTGATTCATACACACATATCAGCATACAGAGCTAAGTGTGGGATGAAACTGGTTGGGAGCAAGAATGCTGTGGGATTTTTTTAGGCACCGGTCAGACCACAGCTAGAATGTCCCTTGAATCCCTACAGTGTGGAAGCAGGCCATCTGGGCCATCACATCCACACCAACCCTCCAAAGAGCATTTCACCCAACACCGCCATCCTATCTCTGTAACTCGTAACCTACACATCCCTGGACACTGGGATATTTTGCACGGCCAATCCACCCTAAACTGCACATCTTTGGACTGTGGGAGGACACAGGGAGAGCATGAAAACTTCAGAGACAGTAGTCTCAGGGTGGAATCGAAACGAGTGCCCCTGGTGCTATGAGGCAGCAGTGCTAACCACTGAGCCACCATCCCTGCTTCTGTGAATACAGTGAAGACTTCTGGTCTCCTTATCAAAGAAAAGTTATCATGGAGGAGGCAGTCCAGAGAATGTTCATTTGGTTGATCCTGGGTTGGGGATGGTGGTGGTGGGGTGGGGTGTGGGGGAGGTGGTGGGGTAAGTGTTTCTTTTTTTCCCTGTGACCAGCCAACTTGGAGTCAGTCCCTGCAGTCAGGAGTCTCTCTGAATCCCCTGGTTTTACATTTTTTTTAAAACCTTCTATCACCACACAACTGCTATACAGCAGTGGTGCTTATGTTCTCCCACAGCACCTGTGTTGTGTGTGTGCGTGCGCGCAAGTGCTGGGACTCAGTGAAGACACCATTGTGCAAATATGTTTTTTTCAATACTTCCATGACCAGGAAAACCACCCATGGCACCAGGGAACCAGTAACAAGCAAAGCCCAATAAGGGCAATGCTTATGTAAATAATGTGAAAGGGGACGGTAGGGGTTAAATCAAAATAGAATTGGATGGGGGATATAAAACACTTCAAACTCACCCCTCCCCCAACTGCGGGGCTCAACTCTCCCTAAAGGTGGGGGGAATTTCTTATGAGATTGAGTCAGTTGGACTCATTAAGAGGTTTGAAGAATCAGAGGCAACCTCATTGAAACATACATGATTCCTGGGGGATTTGCCAGAGTAGCTGGGGTTGTTTCCCCTTGTGGGAGAGGCTAGGGCCAGAGGGTATCATCTCAGAATAAGTGGTTGCTCATTCAAGAGATAAGGAGGAATTTCTTCTCTCACAGGGTACAGAACCTGTGCGATTCTTTACCACTGAGAGCTGTAGAGGTTGAATTGCTAAGTATAACCAAGGCTTAATAGACGGACTTTTAATTAATAAGGGAAGTGAAGGTAACAGGGAACGGAAAGGAAAGTGGAGTTGAGGATTTTCAGATCAGCCATGATCTCACTGGTAGGTGGAGCAGACTCGATGGGCTGAGTGGCCTATTTCTGCTCCTATCTCTGAATGAAATAACTCTACAGAAGCCGGGAAACGGTCACCAAGTCACCCTTTACTTACACATGAACAGTCCTTCACTATAGCACTGCCTTATTAAGGTGCTAGAGTGTCAGTGTATCCCTGATATTCACCTTTTAATGTCAGCCCCAATCAGGAAACTCATGTACTATGAGGTCCAGCTGGCTAACCTCCTTGCAATCTCTTACACTTAGGATCTTATGCTGTTCCTAAAATTGGAGGTTCCCAGAACTGAATGCAATACTCCAATGGAGGCCGAGCAACTGTCCCACACCAGTTTAACGCCGTCTCCTCGCTCTGTTTCTCCCAACCCCTGTTCACAAACCTACCTTATAAATCTCGACAGCCTCATTGAGGGGGATGAAGGTGTGATATCTGTGCTCCCTCCCGTCTCGACAGATGCCGCAGATGAGTTTTTTGTCGGTTTCACACAACAGCTTCAGTTCTTCCTGGTGCAGCTCGCAATACAGTTTCTCGGTCTTCCGCCTCCGGTTCCTGTTCAGTTGCCTTGCTCTCCCGGCCAAGTTGGCAAGAGCCCGGTTGGACTTGAGGTTTATCCCCGGGAACACCTCCAGACACTCGGGGCAGAAGTTTGACTCCTGCACTTCCCAGCAGCCTGTAATGCAGGACCGGCAATAGCTGTGGCCACATTCCAGGGTCACTGGATCCACAAACAGATCGAGGCAGACCGCACAAATTAACTCCTCTCTCCAATTCTCAGCCCGCTGCCTGGGATCCATTCCTCCGTGACTGTGGCCTTGCCTCGGAGCGTTTAGAGGTGCCCTGCTCTGAGATTACTTCCTTGTCTTCTTCCAGATAGGCGGGTGGGTAGAGCTGTGACTCATGGTCACAGGCAGGTGTAGGGACGGGAGAGATGTGTTTGAACCAGCAACCAGCCCGCGAGGTGTAATTTGATCCACTTACTGACACCAGAGCCAGCCCATTGAGAGCACGGTAACAAGCAACCCACTAGATCACTGAGGAAGAACATTTCAGGATACACACAGTGTTAATACACTTCACAGTTCAGAATTCACACTTCTTAAATTTCAAAACAGAAGTTATTCACAAAAAGTATTTTTATATACATAGGCACAAGCGCACGTCGCATCTGTACGGTAGCATATCAAAGAAACGAGCAAACATTGGATTTTGACTCTATCCGAACAAACCAAAGGCATATCTTACTTGAACCAGACTGTATTTACATTCATTTGAGGTACCAGAGGGTCAGATAACCGAACGGACACCCATTTTAACTTCGGCTCTAAGGCACCTCGCAGTTCAGAATATCCAGGCTCCACCTCTATCTACTGCGCTCACTACTGCCTGCAACATCTTCCCTCACAGAACCTGCTGGGAAGAAATTAAAATTTGAATTTGCCGGCTGAAAACAAAGAAAAGATATTGACATCTAGAATCGAAACGTTAGCGCGGTGTCTCTCTCTATGGATGCTGCCTGACTCGCTGTGATCTCCAGCATTTTTTGTTTTCAGTACAGATTTCCAGCACCTGCGGTGATTTGCTCCCACTTTGAATTTCCCGGGTTTGGGCGAGCTAGTTCCGGGATTGAAAAACGATCCAATCACAATGCGCAATATTAACCAATCAGTGGCTTCAGAGGTTGACCAATCGGCAATGGCGCTTTCTGAGCCAATCATAAGCGGGTTCCACTTGACCAATTGGAGAGTGTTGGGCGCTCGCTGGTGGCGGCCAGGACACTATAAAGAGAGAGACACAGGCACTGCGTCTCTAGATTCGGGAAGAAGCGAGAGGAGTGTGATGGCGAGGACGAAGCAGACAGCGCGGAAATCCACTGGGGGTAAAGCTCCCCGCAAGCAGCTGGCTACCAAAGCTGCCCGTAAGAGTGCCCCGGCCACCGGCGGTGTCAAAAAGCCGCATCGCTATCGCCCGGGCACGGTGGCGCTGCGGGAGATCCGCCGGTACCAGAAATCCACCGAGCTGCTGATCCGCAAACTGCCCTTCCAGCGCCTGGTGCGGGAGATCGCCCAGGATTTCAAGACCGACCTGCGCTTCCAAAGCTCGGCCGTGATGGCCTTGCAGGAGGCCAGCGAGGCTTATGTGGTGGGGCTCTTCGAAGACACCAATCTGTGCGCCATCCACGCCAAGCGGGTCACCATCATGCCCAAGGACATTCACCTGGCCCGGCGCATCCGTGGGGAGAGGGCCTGAGCTCGATCCCTCTAATTCCCTTATGAGCATTAACTCAAACGGCTCTTTTCAGAGCCACCACTGCATCAGCAAAAGATGGAAGTGCAGATGCACAGGAACCTTGCTTATTTGGAGAATTCTAAGTCTAGAGACTGAACTTGCCACTTCTATGGCACCTTGCTTATCCTAACGTCGTTTCCTAGTAGTCATTATTTTTCTGCCTGATGCAGAAACAAGACACTTAGTAAGTTTGCTGATGACCCGAAGGTTGGTGGAGTTGTGGATAGTTGTAGGAGGGCTGTTGTAGGTTGCAATAGGACATTGTAAAGATGTGTAGGTGGGCAGAGTGGTAGATGGAATTCAAGCTAGAAAAGTGAGGTGTCCTCACATACCACCCCACCAACCTCCCGGATCCAATGATCATCCTCCGACACTTCCACCATCTGCAATCCGACTCCACCACCAAAGACATCTTTCCCTCCCCATCCTTATCTGCTTTCCAGAGGGACCACTCCCTCCGTGACTCCCTTGTCTGCTCCACACACCCCTCCAGCCCCACCTCACCTGGCACTTTTCCCTGCAACAGCAGGAAGTGCTACACCTGCCCCCACACCTCTTCCCCTCACCCCCATCCCAGGCCCCAAGAAGACTTTCCACATCAAGCAGATGTTCACCTGCACATCTGCCAATGTGGTATACTGCATCTGGTGTGGCTTCCTCTACATCGGGGAAACCAAGCGGAGGCTTGGGGACCGCTTTGCAGAACACCTATGCTCAGTTCGCAATAAACAACTGCACCTCCCAGTCGTGAATCATTTCAACTCCCCCTCCCATTCCTCAGACGACATGTCCATCCTGGGCCTCCTGCAGTGCCACAACGATGCTACCTGAAGGTTGCAGGAACAACAACTCATATTCTGCTTGGGAACCCTGCAGCCCAATGGTATCAATGTGGATTTCACAAGCTTCAAAATCTCCCCTCCCCCTACTGCATCCCAAAACCAGCCCAGCTTGTCCCTGCCTCCCTAACTTGTTGTTCCTCCCACCTATCCCCTCCTCCCACCTCAAGCTGCACCCCCATCTCCTACCGACTAACCTCATCCCACCCTCTTGACCTGTCTGTCCTCCCTGGACTGACCTATCCCCACCTACACTCTCCTTTACTGGTTCCATCCTCACCTCTTTGACCTGTCTCTTTCCTCTCCACCTATCCTCTCCTCTATCCATCTTCTATCCGCCTCCCCCTCTCTCCCTATTTATTTCAGAACGCTCTTCCCCTCCCCCATTTCTGATGAAGGGTCTAGGCCCAAAACGTCAGCCTTTCTGCTCCTATGATGCTGCTTGGCCTGTTGTGTTCATCCAGCTCTGCACCTTTTTGTCTAGAAAAGTGAGGTGATTCATTTTGGAAGAGCGAATTTGAATGCAGAATACAGGGTTATAGCAGGATTCTCGGCAGTGTGGAGGAACAGGAATCTTGGGTCAAAGAACAGAACAAAGAAAATTACAGCACAGGAACAGGCCCTTTGGCCCTCCAAGCCTGTGCTGATCCAGATCCTCTATCTAAACCTATTGCCTATTTTCCAAGGTCCATGTAGATAGATCCCTCAAAGTTGCTACCCAAGTTGATAGGGTTAAGGCGTATGGTGTGTTGGCTTTCATTGTCAGGGGAATGGAGTTTAAGAGCTGTGAGATTATGCTGCAGCTCTGTCTAACTGGTTAGACCACACTTGGGAGTATTGTGTTCAGTTCAGGTCACCTCATTACAGGAAAGATGTGGAAGCTTTAGAGAGGGTACAGAGGAGATTTACCAGGATGCTGCCTGAATTGGAGGGCAGGTCTTGAGGAAAGATTGAGGGAGCTAGGGCTTTTTCACATTGGCCTGAAGAAGGATGAGAGGTGACTTGAAAGAAGCATACAAGATGAGGCAGAGTGGATAGTCAGACTTTCCCAGGGCAGAAATAACTATTACGAGGTGGCATAATTTTAAGGTGATTGGAGGAAGGTATAGGGGAGATGTCAGGTAGGCTCTTCACACAGTGGGTGTGTGGAATACAGTGGTAGTGGAGTCCAGATACCTTAGACGTTTAAGTGACTCTTGGATAGGCACATGGATGGTAGTAAAATGTAGGGTATGCAGGATAGTTTGATCTTAAGATAATAGGTCAGCACAACATCGTGAGCAGAAGTGCCTGTACTGTTCTATGTTCACTAAACACACAAATCTCTTTCCTGTATGCCATCTCATTGTGAGATCCAACCTACAATGATGGTATCAGCAAACCCATTAATGGAGTTGGAGCAGAATTTGGCCACAGTCAAGTGTAAGAAGCATAGTAGCAGGACTGAGTATGCAGCCTTGTGGGGCATCTGTTGATTATGGTGGTTTTGCCTATTCTTACTGCAGCCTGTGGGTCAGGAAGTTGAGGATCCAGTTAGAGGGGGTAATGAAGACTTAACTCTTAGTTGAGGTGATCTTGTTTCAAATTATGGTGTTTGAAGGCAGAGCTAGCATCAAAGTAAGCATGATGTAAAATCCTTGTTATCCTGATTATTCCAGGGATAAATGTGGAGCTGGGGAGGCAGCATCTGCTGTTCACCTGTTGTGCCACAGATTAATTTGCAAAGGATCAAGGCAATTTTGTAGGCTGGAGTTTGAGCCATGACTAAGCTCAAAGGATTTCATAATTGTGGAGGTCAGACCCACAGTGATTGCATGCATGATTTTTCTTTGGAACTGGGATGATGGTCTCTTTGAAGCAGATGGGGACTTCAGGTCAAAGTAAGTAGAAGTTAAAGATACAGTGAAAGCTACTCCTAGCTGGTCCACACAGGATCAGAGTACATGGCTTGGGCCTCCATCTGGGCCAGTTGCTTTCTGTGGGTTCACTCTTGAAGGCTGATCTAACACCTGCAATGGTGACTGGGCACCAGTGCACCTGAGGCTATGGGATCAGTGACATTTCACTGAAATTGTAATATCCTAATGCCTTCACCTGTCCTCTTACCACTTTGTCAAAAGTCTTGCTAGCCACGTTGTAATCTAATCTTGTATGGAATGCCATGCTTCCAACCACCTTGAACACTTTTCTAAGACATGTGGTCTGATTCAATCCTGGCAATGGTCTGACTCTGCCCAGTTCACAATTTAGCACAAATTTGCCAAACTTGCTGAAAAGGTTTTATACCATAGAACTGCAGACAGGAAGACTAACGCAAACCAGTTTAAACTCATTGTTTTAGAAATGGATGTCCTTATTGTACTCAATATGCATCACATGATTGACCATTTTCAGAAGCTTCCCAGCCCCCTGTGGGGAGACCAGCTGTCTATATTCAGCCATCTCTTGAGCAAAGGACATCAAACTCAATGCTGTTAAAATGACAATTTTAATGGCCCTGTCTGTACTCTATTTTCACTATCCACAGAGTTTCTACAATCAAGTTGAGGTGCTTCTAATTAGCCCATGGAGATGTGCTATCACTGCCCAAAATGCCTGCCATTTGTCTGAAAGATTGAAATCTGATTTTGTTGACTTCAAGTCACCAATGCTGAGGATTCTAAACCAGCTGCTGCTTTCTTACCAGAAGGTGGCTGGACTCCAGACCTGGCTGTCTGCCTGGGATCCT